CTTTTCATGCAAACTGTTCTGCTTTCATCTCCGAGGGTACAAAAAGCGTGTCTGAAGTTAATAAATGTCCTAAAAGATGACACTAGAATTCATATGCTAAAATACACACTGCAACGACGTGCACAAACCTCCCAGGTGGTATTCTTGACAAAAGCAAGTGAATCTAATCAAATCTTCAGGCTTAAATTCTAGGATCCAGGTAACACTGGGGACAGAGGCACAGGTAACGCAACACCATGAAGAAATACTCAGACGTTCAGAACGTGGGGACTTTGTACAACTCAACTGGCTTATCCTCTTGTCGTGATTATTTAAAAAGAAAGACGGAAGCAGTAATAGACTGTTCTAAAATGAAACTGAAGAGGTATCTCAAGCAAATGCCGTGCAGGAAGGCTGTCTGAATTCTAATCCCTAAAAAACTAAAATCCCAGCCATAAAACACATTTGGGGGGAATAGCAGGGATTGCATATTAAGTGATATTATTACTGTGGTTACTGTTAAATGATTGCACATTAATGATAAGGAGAATGATGCTTCTCAGGCATGCCAATGATACTGCACATGTGTAGGAGAGCCTTCTTAGGAAATGTGTGCTAGAGTGTTTAAGGTTTGTGCCAGTTATTAAAATATTGTCTCTTGGCTCCAAATTCATCCTTCTATACTTGGCTTTGTGATGCTGGGTATGGGACTCTGCAAAACACATGAGACACTCTGCCAAAAGGGGGCGCTCGAGGAGCGGAGTCTGCAAGGCTGGAGGAGGAAGAGACTGGCTCCTTTCTGTCTACTTCCTGTTCCTGTTCTGCGGCCCAGCACTACTTCATCACCCTGTCTGTACTTCTTTCCCATGGCATCCACAGAATCCAGCCCCACAGAGACAGCGGCCCTGTCCTCAGAGGTCTGGGTCCCAGCGACACAGCTCAGAGGCCAGCACTCGCTCAGCAGCCCCTCGACTTCAGACAGGAGAGTTTCAGCCACAGGGACTCTTCTTGTAGGTGTCTGGTTTAACAACACCCATCTTTGGACTTTATGCCACCAGCCCAAAGAATGGTAGCTGCTTCCTGAAACTGCCTCCTCCGTGATCCCTCGGAGTTCTCACTGTATTCTTCCGATCACCCAGCTAGTAACTTTATGGTATCTAGTTAAGTCATCATAGTAAATTCATTCCACTCAAATAGGAGGTGTGGTTTCTGTTTCCTGAAGAGGTGAAGTGTCGTAAATGTTTGCAACTTGCATGAAAAAGATTCAGCCAAAAGGAAAAACATAGATAGATAGATAGATAGATAGATAGATAGATAGATAGATACAGAGATACAGAGATACAGAGATAGAGGTATATGTGTGTAGATACAACACACACATCCACAAATATACATTGAGACAAAGAAAGGAAGGAGAGGCAAAATTGTTGAATCTCGGTGGTGAGTACAGGGGTGTTGATCATATTAGACCTTCACTTTTCTGTGAGTGTAAAATTGGTCACACAGAAAAGTTAAATATAAGAAGAAAATCAGGACAGTAGTACCTAACTCATGAAACTGTTATGAGAAGTAAGGGGAGACACTAATGAAGGGCAAAAAAAAATACTTTGCCACTTTCCCAAACACATCCGCAGCCCCGAAGGCCATGTAGCCCGTGAAAGGTTCGGATCCTGCTGGTTTGGCTGGTCTCCTCTCCTGGATGGAGAACGCACGTGGATGTGTGAGCAATAATCCGGTATCTGCCATCAGTGGCTGCACCTGCAGCCGCTCACGGGGGCCCCGACTTGGCAGAGAACCCGGGGCTGGGGGGGACGGCTCTTTCACACAGGACCCCTCGAATCATTCCAGCAGAAAAGAATCTCTGCCTTTATGGGAGAGAAAGGGGACATTTCAGAAACTTCCCTGGGAAATCACTTAACTCGTTATGATCAGTTCCAAACCTCTGACCTAAATCTCAAGCTCCAGGTGGAGCCCCATCTCTTTGCTCTTCCCTCCCACAGATGCCCCTTTTTCTATGAATGAAAGCCCCTCCTACACCTTATTAAAGATCCTGCCCCCATCTCTTGCCAGAACACAGTCAAGACCTTGTAACCACCTTCATTGTTCTTTCTTTTTTTAAAACAAGTTCTTGGGTCCAGTTTTCCTGAGACACAGTTGGCATCTGACACCATTATCAGTTTAAGGTGTAACACACAATGATCTGATGAAGGCACATACTGCAATATAATCACCACAATAAGACATCATTCTTTGTCTCTCTTTTTTTTTTTCGTTAATTCTTAAACACTATCTTGCTTTTCCTCCAAGCCTATGACCACTGAGCCACCATGAAAAGCTGGCCTCTCTTTTGGTCTTGATCACAATACATTGTGTTGGGTTTCCATCTATTGTTTCTGGATCAAGGTTTGTTGGCTAAATGCTGCTGACTGATCAGTCTGTATCCCACTGCACGTCATTTCGCCTGTATTCTTTCCTTCGTTGGTCACACCCTCTATTGATCCAATTTTTGGTGAGCACAGTTGGTTTTACTGCCTTATTAAGAAAAACATTTGGCTACCTCAGCCCCAGTTAAATGCCGCTCAGACAAGGAAGGTGTGTGTGAATGTTCGTATGACCTTAAAATAAGAAGGCCAGGGAATCGGCCGCCCATCTCTGGAGGCTCTTTGCAAAGCTTGTCATGTAAATGGCCACGGAGGGGGCAGCGCCAGGGTGAAACAGCCGGCCTTACCCCAGGAAAGTGGGCTACCCAAAGTCTGCGACCACTTGGCCCTAAGTGCTCGGTGCTTTGTTCTGTTGCTTCCTATGCCTGAGACAGCCCCCTTGCCTTGCCGGCCTCCCCAAAGCCTTCTCATCCAGTGAGGTCCGGCTCCAGTGTTACACTCCTCATCAAGTTTTCCCTACTTCCTCCAGCAAGATGACAGATGGCCAATAAGCCAATACACACGTGAGAAGATGTTTGTCCTCACCATCAGGAAAATGAACATGAAGACAGTAAGACAGCTATTATAGAACAGCATATGTCACCACGCAGAAATCTGCACGTTCCGAGAAGATGGAGATGTGACCAATGACACCGCGTGTTCCGGAGCAACGGAGCTGTAGGAGCCCTGTGGGCATTCCTCAAAGCCAGAGGTGTTATTTAGCAACAGGTGTTGTTTTCAGATGTTCCATGGTCAAAAATGTTTAGGAAATGCCAAATTAGACAAAACTAGACAGGCTTACTTACAGCAGGACTTATCACATCCTTTAATATGCTAAGGTGGAACGTGAATATTACACCATGTAATTTGCAATATAATCCAGGCTTACTTGAACCTTCTGCCTTTTTTTTTTTTTAGGATCGCAAGGCCTAACTCTCCCAAAACATGAATTGGAAAACGCTGCTCAAAGCTATTTCTCCATCATCAATCCACGGTCAGAACGGTACTTAATGGAAATTTAACAATATAACTTGCCCACCTAACCCAACAGAGCAAGGAAATGAACTAGACCAAGAGCTCAGGCTTATCAGTTCTCCACAGAGTCCTCCTCGTCCTCTGCCCTGCTGGTCCAAAGAACACGCGGGAAACACCCTGACAAAAAACTCACAGTAACACTTCCCAAACTGAATAGGCCCCAGTATCATCATTTTAGCCACTTCAGCTTCACTGAATCCTGTGCATTCAATTCTACTCAGCAGTGGACCGGACAAATGGCTGAAAGAGCTAGGATCCTGCACTACAGCCAAGTCATGGACCACATGCTTGACCCTACACTAGCTGGTTGGCAAATGTTCCACAGGATCGGGCTGAGAAGACCAAGAGCCATACTCATACCCATTAACGACCTCAAAAAAGAGGCAGGGTGACAGCCCAACGTTTTTTTATTCATTATCTCTGAAGAGGGGAAATCTGTTATGTTAGCTCATTAAGTATCTATGCTTCCCTTTTTGGGGTAACAACACACTTTTCTTTCCCTTCTCTCCCCTCCCCACCTTGATGGGCCCCTTAATCCAGGCATCTTGTGCTCTCCTGCCCAAGGAGTGGGTCCTGGACCTAAGACAGGTCAATTAGACCCTCATTCACCCAGAAATTTCAAAGCTAAAATAGAGCAATAGAAGGTCAAAAAAGGTTAGGCTTTGATGGTCATGAAGGTAAAGCCCCAGACATGGCATTTCAGTCCGCTACCCAGATCCCCAGCATTGTCCTGGGTCCCCTGCTTGGCATGACTCAGGCATTCAGCATTTCTCTTAATCCTGTGAGTGCACCCGACATCCAGCCAATCCATTCCCAGGGAGTTTCTGTTGCTTGCAGCTGAAGAACCTGGGACAATACACTGAGCAAAACAATTCCTACTGGCCTTTTCTTTAACTGGACTTAAAATCTGAAAGTGACCTGAAAGCTTCCCTGACAGACTCACCTCCTCAACTCGCACAAAAAGGACACTTCCTCAACACACCCAGTGTCCTTCAGCTCACGAGTGATGGTCAGGTTTCCCACCTGCGTGTGTGTCCTGAGCAGATTTCCAAGCAACCTCCGTTTTCCACACAGATACCCACTAAACTGCTCTGGGTAGGTAGCAAGTCTGACTTGTGAGTATTTTTCCTCCCACCTGTGGCAAAACTGGCCTTCCGCTGCCACGTATCAAATGCTGCACAGAAGTGCATGCATTTTTTAAATATTCCAGCGAGCATTTGCACAGCCCCCAAATGTTCACAGCCTGCCGTTCCGCACAGCCTTTTGGCTCCGTGTCTTGAGGCTCCTGCCTTCAGTCAGGCACTCCAAGTATGGAGTGTGGAAGTGCCCGCTCTTGGGTTCTTGTCAGCGGCTCACCAGGGATCACCAAGCCAAGGACGTTCTATTCTGAGTGTGGCCCCAGTATGTTTCATTTCATCAACAAAGCACGAGTTTATTCTGGAGAGAGATGTTTTGGACACATTCACAGTAGCCAACGAGCAGAACTTCCTTATATGCAGAACACAAAATCATCACATAAAAATCTGACCCAACTGCCAGTGTGGGGTTTAAAACAAACAAACTCACCCCGAAAATTACCTCTCTGGGCCGGCCAAGTATGCACCTCGGAGGCACAGGCTGCAACGGTGGGACGGAGACGGTAAAAATCAGACAGCAGTGATTCCTGGTTCTCTGGGGAGTGGCTGGGGACCAAAGCCTCCATTTATCTCCATTGAGCTGGAGGTCTTCAGTGGTTCCTGTGCAGACATTTCAGATCTGTGCCCTTTGAAAAAACAATGATAGAGGAGAGTTGGCTCGGGTTTTCCATGCAGTGCTGCCCAGGACTCTCAGTGCAAGAGCAGGAAGGGAACCCAGACTGGTCTCCGCTCTCCAAGGGAGTCAATGAACATGCTGCCCTGCCCATGCCAACGGGTCAGCCCTGGCCCTTTTCTCTTGCTTTCCCTCTGCTCTGCACAGCCTTTGTTTCCTTCCTCATCTCAGGAGGTGGTTTCCAAACCTCACCTACCCGTCCACCTCCCAACCTGAGCGAGGTGCCCACAGCCCAGCCCGCCCCACAATGCTCGCCTCTGTACTAGGATTCCACCATGAGACCCTTCCGGGGCCCATTTCCAAGGCTCTCTTCCCCACTGGATGACTGTGAGCTCCTTGAGCGCAAGGGATGTATCTGTCTCTGTGTCCCCAGCGCCCGGCCCAGCAACCGCACCCACCACTGGCACTCGCAGGCGAGAACAGAGCAAAAGAAACAGAAGCACCACAGGCACAATGATGACCACAGCTCCTGGCCCCACGAGCAATGGGTCGCTTAGCCCTGCCTGTGCCAGACCCACCGTGCCCAGGACAGTGGTGGCCTGGCCTCGTTACTTGCAGCCCTGCACGCTGCCAGCACTCCCCGAAGTGCTGGGACGAGTGGAACCTTCAAGAGGCTGTTGAGGGTAGCATCTGAGGCCAAGGCCCCCAGAAACAGACAACGAGGTTCAAATTCTGCCTCCACTATTCACTAGCTGTATGAACATGGGCGAGTTAGCCTCTCGACGCCTTGCTTTCTTAATCTGTGAAAGGGGCATAAGTATAACACATCATAGGTTATAGTAAAGATAGGGAAGTTAATGCAGGTAAAACATTTTGTGCCTTCACTATGTTATTAGTTATTTTTTATTGAGATATAATTTACAAATGATTGTATAAGCTTAAGGTGTCCAGTGTGTTGATTTTGTATTTATATATTGCGTATGATATAAACCATATTGTATATTGCAATATGATTACCACCATAGCTTTGGCTAACACCTCTGTCACATCATATAACTAACATTCCTCTTCTGTGGTGAGATTGCTTGAAATCTAGTCTCTCAGCAACTTTGAAGTTCTGTATATAATACAGTATTGTTAACTCTGCTCATTGCACCTAAAGTGGTTTAGGTGGTGCCCAGACATAGCCTTAAAGAACATTCGATCAAGGAACTAACTCATTCTCGATTCTCTTTCAAACTTCCTGATTATTTCAAGGGAAAAGTCACCATTTAACATAAATCTCTAAAACTTGCTGTCCTCTCTTTTAACAAAGAGAAAAAAGGCCTCAAGCTCAAGTCTCTGGCAGGACTGGCTGAAATGCGTCAAGTGACTTTTGCCTTTTTTGTATTAGCGTTATCATGTAATGGCAGCTGACCATGGTTTTCTATGTATGATAGTGGTATAAATTTTCCATTTAAAATAAATCTATTGAGGGGGGAGGGTGTAGCTCAGTGGTAGAACGTATGCTTAGCACACATGAGGTCCTGGGTTCAATCCCCAATACCTCCGTTAAATAAATAAGTAAACCTAATTACCTCTCCCCAGAAAAATAATAAAGAATAAAATAAAATGAAATAAATCTATTGAGAGTAAATAGCGAGTAGGTTCAAAGGAAAACATAAAGTTACCATATAAGTACAGCTGGTCCTCCGTATCCATGGTTCCTGCATCCAGGGATTCAACCAGCCAGGAATGGAGTGGCTGAATACTCGTATATGGAACCCATGGATACTGAGGGCTGGGGAGAGAGGCCAAAGCTAGGTTCTTCTCCCCCTGTCTCCCCATCCCTCCCTCCTCATTTCCCACGAGTTGCACAGCTTAGGTTCTAGGCTTAGGTTCTAGTCTAAGTGCAGTGGGAAGTTCCTAAAGGGTTTTCAGCTTGGAAGTTATATAATCCAAGTAACTTCTGAAGTCAGGCCTCAGTTCCTTCATCTGTAAAATGGGAGTAAATAAGAGAATGACTTTAAAAAAAAAAAGAAAAGTACCCTGCCTAGTTGGAAGATGGATTGAAGATGTTCTGAAACATAAGCTTGCATCAAAATCACCTGGGGTACTTGTAAAACTCAAGATGGCTGGGCCCCACCCCCAAAGATTGTGATGCAATAGGTCTGGGGGAGGCCCAAGAAGATTCATTGCTAACAAGTTCCCAGCTGCTGCTGCTGCTGCTGCTGCTGCTGCTGCTGCTGCTGCTGCTGCTGCTGCTGCTGCTGCTGCTGCTGGTCTGGGGACCCCACTTTGAGAGCCCTTGGATTAGAGAGAACAATAAAGAAGCAGCAGGTGCCATTGGGATGCTGCTGCAATCATTAAGAGCTGGTAGAGTAAAATGATGTCAGTGACATGGAGAAAAGTGGTCCAGAATCACTCTATTCTGGAGGGGCCATGGACAAGGCTGGCCAATGGACTGGATGTGAGGGATGAGGGAAAAGGGAAAATCGGACACAACGCTCCTAGATCTCTGGCTTGATCACCTAGGCAATGATTGTGGCAGAAAGTGAAATGGGGAACCCTAAGGAGGGGTGGATTCGGAAATAAGGGCTGGGACAGGCTAACTCTGAGACTTCTGCAACTCCAAAAAGGCAAGGTCAAGTAGGCAGGAGGAGCCTTCATGAGGACGGCAGTCCTATCTCGCTTTCCAATATACCCGTAGATCTGAGTCCTGGTATATAATAAATACTCAGAAAACCTTTCTTAAAGGTTGAAGGATAAATAGAGGTGGAGGAACCCTAGCCACCGGGGTAGCAAATGCTGCCATGTATGAGGAGGCCATGAACAGTCCCTCCTGAGGCTTCACCAGCGGGACCACGCGGTCCATCACCTCCTGACTTTGGCATGTAGGTTGCAGCGCGAGGCTGGGGTTAGAACAAAAGACAGAACCGAGCTCCCCAATTCGCCAGTAGGGCTCTTCCTTTAGAAGTCACAGATTTCACACGGGAGCCTCTTTTGGGTGGGTTTTGAGATGGAAAGGTTTGAACTGTGAGCTTAATGAGCATGAAGGCCAGAGGAATCTGGCTAACTTGGGGTTTTTTTTTATAAAATAAATCATGGGAAAATCAAAGCTGTGCAACTCGGGGGAAATGAGGAGGGAGGGATGGGGAGACAGGGGGAGAAGAAACGGAGGACAGAACAGGGAAAGTGGCTTCACCGAGACGATCTCCCCACTCGGGTGAGAAGGGGCCAGCCTCCAGACCTTGACTCTCAGGTCAGCCTCGACCCTGGGGTCCTCCCCACATCTCGAGGAGGGATGGTGGACCCTCGGCCTCCCCACTTACCGAGTTGTAAATTAAAAGGCTGTAATTCCAGCCAGGGGTTCTGGTGACATCATAAACCACAGAACCACAAGCTCAATTCACCAGAAGCCCCAAGATGGAATTACACCCTTTTTTCCTAATCCAGGCAGCTCTGGTCACTGCCATTTTTTCATGATATAATAGAAGTGAGCGATATTTTAACCATTTGTGCGTGACCTTTCTCATCCAGCAGTTGGGGCCCCTCTCTCCTGTCCACCCCCCCTCCTCCCCCACCCCACTGTGTCCCTTCCTCCCAAGGGGCTTCCTACGGGGTCATCCCCTGCTTTCTAAAGCTGCCCCTGCTCCAGGCCTGTGCCTCTCCCCTCTTTCCTCCCACGTCTCTTCTGCTTTTCTGTCTCCTCTTATGGGCAACAGTGTCCTGATTTCTGCCTTAAATCTGCTTTCCAAAAGCAGCCCAGTCTTCTCTAGGTTCAGGGCAAGACCCCAGAGGGTATCTGGAATACGTTCCCAAAAGTCACCTGCAAAGGAACTCATGTTTTCAATGCATCAGGGAGGTTTACAGCTTAAAGAATCTTTCTGAAAGCAAACGAATACTTCCAATACCGTTTTGTGTTGGTTTGGTGTGGAGTCCTAATTTCCGTTAAGGTTTTGCTTGACATGGTGTAGACCTGAGCATCATGTGGCCCTTCCCCCTGCTTCCCCACCTGAGGCTTAACGTTGGAACTTAAGCTTCCAGGGGAAACTCATGCAGCGGGGAGAGCCACAAGGAAGGGTGATCATAAAAGCAGCCAAGACGTGATGAGTCCCCTCTGTGTCTCATTCCTACAGTATTCCTCACCCCTTTCACAGAGCTATTATTTTCCTCATTTTATGGAGGAGGGAAACTGAGGCTCAGAAATGTGGAGTATTTTGCCCAGTCCCACAACAAATAAGTAAAGCCCTTGGATTTGACCCCAATCATCTGACTCAACACCCTACATACACATGCACTCTCAGTGTCCCCTCGAGTGAAACATTTTGAGAATAAATGTTGCATTTGACTCCAAAGGGACTTTAATAATTGATCTTCATATAACAGTTTTTTTTTTAAATTTCAGAAGGGAAGAAAATTCTACACTATTCTAGGGTACAGTAAGAATCAAAAAACACATTCCAAATGCTCTCTCTATTCTTTTTTAAAGAAAACAACAAAGTAAGTTATTTCAAAAGATTTTGACTTATCCCCAAAAGAAAAGCAAAGCAAAAAAAGTTTAATTCCACATTGATATAACCGGCAGAAACCTGCACCAGTGACTTGCTTTATAAGGTGTCATGCGCAAAACACTTATATTGGAGAGGGCAGCTTTCAAAAGAGCTGATCAGCACAAGTCTGCCTGCGCTCGCTGTGTGGGGTGTGCCGTACAAACCCCGGGCGTCTTGGAGATGGCCCCCCAGTGGGAGGGGGCAGGCCACGTGGGCATCTTGGAGATGTCCCAAGGGCAACAGGCGGATGAGGGGCAGAGAGTCAGTGCCCCAGGGGTTAAGTGATTCCAGGACTTTATAAAAATATAATGATACTGCAGCCGAATGGAGGCTGCAGCTCACGCACCTCATAAAGGAGTAAGAACCGCATCTGATGTCATTTCTGCAAACGTTTGAGAACACAGCAGTCTTGGTGTTAGAAATGTTGGACAAGAAGAGAAAAGAAGAAAGCAGCAGTTTTATCTTCTTCAGAAAATGCCTC